TTTTTTTTTTTTTTTTTTTTTTTTTTTTTTTTTTTTTTTTTTTTTTTTTTTTTTTTGTGTATCACAGTTAACCGGGACCCGAGTCTCTTTATGCACCAGGTCGATAGTCCGAGATTATGTTTTTCAGGAACGTGTAAATGTCTTTGAAGGTCGGCCTCGAGGTCTCGTCCCTCCGCCAACACGAGCACATCATCCTGTAGACCTCCTCCGGGCACATTGTGGGCTTTGGAAGATATATCTGAAAATAATACGACGTTATATAAACGAAGATATAAAATTTCTCTTATCTTTTATTCCCTTAACTTTGTTCGTTAATTTCACAATTTATAATTTGTTCGATCCGTTCCACAAACGTTCTATGAATACATTTCTCGTGATGCGCAAGCTGAATACTATCGCATTTTTACATCCATCGTTACACTCATCGTGACGAAGATGAAAGATTATTCAACTCGGTATTCTTATAAGTCCCTTTTTATACGTATTCAACTACAATTGGTACGAGATAAAGAAAAAAAAAAAGATGTATTAAAATAAATAAGCAGTTTAAAGTAATCAATGGTGAAAAGTTAGAAACGTACCTGCAACTCGGCCCCGTAGTACATGTGTTCCGCGTTCTGTATCACCTGATCGTTGGTCAAATGCTGGAAAGGTTTCTCTCTGGCCAGGCTCATCACTTCCCACAGAGTGACGGCGAACGACCAGACGCTGCTCGAGCAAGTGTACCTGTCCTGTAGAATCGAAAACCGTGTTCATCTCTGTCTATCGGCGTATTGTGGCCATTCCTAACTATTCGAGGAAGATCATCATTGGAATGAATTCTTACCAACAGAATGCTTTCCCACGGCAGCCATCTGATTGGCGCCGGCGGTCTGCCGCCTATATCACTGTAATCCTTCTTGTAAAGGTCACTGCACATCGCTATGTCGGTCACTTTCACGGTGTAAGAGCGGCCCACCAGACAGTTCCTGGCCGCCAGATCTTTGTGCACGAGATTCTTCGACTCGAGGAACCTCATGCCCGATGCTATCTGCGCGCCCATGTACATCAGGCAACTTTGGCTGAAAGGAAAGGAAAAAAAACTTGGCTTTGAACTCGTTTAAGTTGGGAGGAATAAGATCAGATTTTCACGCGAACGAGATTAACTTCAAAGATTTGAATGTTTTTCAGATAAGAGAAATTTTTGCAATAAAAATTGTACATATCTTCTCGTTTAACGCAGAAGCTTAAATTTACAATTGTTAACATAAATAATTGGAAATGCAAGGATTTTTAAACGAGATTTTCACAAGGGATGTATAGAATTTTCTGAAGAAGAAGCGTGACAATTAAAAATAAAAAAATAAAACGAATACCAAAGCATCATTCTCAAAACAACAATTTCAAAAAGGCGGACAAAATTCAATTTCCCCAATAAAAAAAAAAAAACTTTCTAAACCCTAACAATTATCAATCGCGTAAAGGGACGAGCCGCAACAAGGCAAGGATAATTTACAAGGCGCGTAATCGGGCCTAATCGGAAGCCGTATAACGCGGAAGCGGCATTAAGATCAATCGGGGACGCGATGAACGAGCGCAGTGCCGCGTTAAAATTGCGACGGGACGGACGAGCGTTGAACCGTGAAACGGTCGGCCTCGGCCTCGGCGGATTATCGTTGCATCACGCACGGGGGACGGGGCTCGAAAATTCCATTTTCGAAAAACGCGCGAAACTCGTTTGGCGCGCGCGTGCATCGAGCAGAATGGTAATGGCGGCTCTCCTCACCTAAGGGCTTTCAAATTGCAGCTCGGCCTAAGCGTTCCCGTAAGTGGCACACTGTACTGGAGATAATGGGCGAGATCACCGAGTTCCGTGTACTCGATGATCGTCCACGGGACTGGTTCCACGGCGCACACTCCCAGGATCCGCGCCACGTTCGGGTCGGACAGGCTGGACAGAAATCGGACCTCTCTTATCTGGTCCGCCGTACTTCCGCCCCGTATGTCGCCCGTGCAAGCGGGCACGCGAGCAACCACCAATCTTGGCGCATCCGCCACCGCGTCCTCCAATCCGACCGCCTCGCACACTATCGCCTGTGGACCGTAACAGTGTAATTAAAACTCATTTCGAAGTGTGTCTGCTGCCGAGAAATTCGTCTTTTCTAAGCTTTTTACGTTTCGAAGTTATAAAGTTGTATATATAAAGTTTCCATATCGATGGAAAAAATTTTGGATATGATTGAATTTTATTTTTTCGCGCGTTTCAGAGGTAATTAATCCCTTTTATCTGGGATTGAAGTGTGTTCGCTGCCGAGAAATTCGTCTTTTCTAAGTTTTTTTTTTTTTTTTTTTTTTTTTCTAAGTTTTGAAGCTTTTTACATTTCGAAGCAGCGTTATAAAGTTGTATATCGATGGAAAAAATTTTGGATATGATTGAATTTTTTTCGCGTGTTTCAGAGATAATTAATCTCTTTTATCTAGGATTGAAGTATGTTCGCTGCCGAGAAATTCGTCTTTTCTAAGTTTCGAAGCTTTTTACGTTTCGAAGTTATAAAGTTGTATATCGATGGAAAAAATTTTGGATATGATTGAATTTTATTTCTTCGCGTGTTTCAGAGGTAATTAATCCCTTTTATCTAGGATTGAAGTGTGTTCGCTGCCGAGAAATTCGTCTTTTCTAAGTTTTTGTTTTGTTTTTTTTTTCTAAGTTTTGAAGCTTTTTACGTTTCGAAGCAGCGTTATAAAGTTGTATATCGATGAAAAAAATTTTGGATATGATTGAATTTTTTTCGCGTGTTTCAGAGGTAATTAATCCCTTTTATCTAGGATTGAAGTATGTTCGTTGCCGAGAAATTCGTCTTTTCTAAGTTTCGAAGCTTTTTACGTTTCAAAGTTATAAAGTTGTATATCGATGGAAAAAATTTTGGATATGATTGAATTTTATTTTTTCGCGCGTTTCAGAATTAATTAATCCCTTTTATCTGGGATTGAAGTGTGTTCGCTGCCGAGAAATTCGTCTTTTCTAAGTTTCGAAGCTTTTTACATTTCGAAGCAGCGTTATAAAGTTGTATATCGATGGAAAAAATTTTGGATATGATTGAATTTTATTCTTTCGCGCGTTTCAGAGTTAATTAATCCCTTTTATCTGGGATTGAATGTAAACGAGGAAACGTTGGATTTTGTATGTAATCTTTTTATTTTAATGGAACAACGATCTTTTGAATTATGAGTAATTATACAAGAGGAGGTTTAGTAAGTGCATACATAGTTGACGAAGCCATGCGGCTTAATCGTCCAAGAGGCTGCTGGAAGACGACACTTTGCAGCTTCTTCGACTCGCTATCGCTAATGCACACATAAACCAATGAATCCCGGAAGTATATCGACGCGGAAATCTGGGTCCGTGTGCACATCTTGTACGCGCATAATGTACACAGTAAATGCATTATCCCTTCGTTGCTTCGTTGTCGTTTCTCTTCGATGTTCAGCGGCTGAAGTTTCCGTGTAGTTTGCTGATCAACGTATTATCGTGTATCGCGGAATCGTGCAAATAATATCTATATATAATATTACACCAATGATATTAACATTCGTCACTCATTATTATTCGAATTAATTTTTCCAAAAAACGATAACAGTTTTTTTCATTTCACTCGAGATCATAATTTCGAAACATTTATCGTTAATTTCCTTTATCAATTAATCACAATATCAACGACGCGCTCTCCTACGTCGTGAGATAAAACCCACTCTTAGGGGAAGAACTAACTCTTAATTAGCTCGTTAATTACAAAATCAATTCTATTGGTTCTGTTGTCAATCAAACTTCTGAGTAAACATTCGTTACGGTTGACGACCGGTCGAGAGATTAACGCAACTCGGAAAAACGTGGTTTCATCATCGCGAAACATGCATCAGAGAGATAACACGCGTCGTTTCCCAATCGTTTATCGCCATACCTCGCCGATGTTCCTCGAGCCAAGTTTCTCCGTGGTACGTAGGCACTGGCGGGGTATATTGGTGGGCTCTATCTCCTTGCACTTGTACGGTTTGTTCATGCTGGGCGCGATGTTCCAGCTGACGACAGGTGCGGGTATCTGTGGGCACGAGCCGATTTATTCGATATTCTTCCTCGTAAATGAAAATTTCTTTCGAACTAAGAAGAAACAAAGTTAGAGTTTGCGATTTATTATCGGAGAATTATTGGAGAATATGGAGTTAGATAGCGGAGGATGATAAATTTTTTTCGTCTGATGTATTTATTTGCGAATTGGTTTGAGTTAGAGATGACATGATCTACGCGTAGAATAGATGTGTAAAGAAAGATGAAATTTCGAGTCATTGCATCGTTATTTTTATGATTAATGAATAAATAAATCGTGTAAAACTTTTTTTCTTTGTTTGTCACTACAACAAAACGATTTTAACGATAATTATTCTTTTAGGAGATTTTAAAGGAAATCGAGGCAGCTCGTAAATTCCTTCGATTTTTCTCGAAATCGTTGCAAACGGATCCTCCGCCGCAAGATCCCCAATTATAAGCGACAGCAAACCAATTATGGAAATTCAATCCCTTTAAGACGACCTATTCCATCCTATCCTTATTCAATTTTTTCTTTTCTAATCTCAATCGCAATTACTTTCATTTCGTTCAGACCATTTCCTACTGTTGGAATTTAAATTCCATCCGTGAACCCGTTTATCAATCAATTTTCAAATCTTACGATGTCGAACCTTGTGTTTCTCTTTAGGCGCTGTGTGCCAGCGTTTCGAGTGGATCTGATCGACGTCCCGCTGGTGATTAGACGTGGCCGCGATATTGAGTTTCGCAGTTGGACTCGTGTAACTTTGGAGGGTCCTGTAGTGTTGAGAGTGGCGTGCGGGCGAGTTGGTCGGCGACGAGGAGCAACTGGGCGGGCCCACGGTCGATTCCGGCCTCGTGTCGAGTCGCACGCTCTCCTCCGTGACGTTCACGTCCTTCAGCTCTTTGGGGGATTCTTGAAAGAAATCGATTTTTATTTATTTACCCCTTTCGAGCCGCCTCCTCGAGGAGGAATACTTGGGCAGAAATTCCGTGTTTATTTTCTATCGGAAAATATTTTGTAATATCGAACGTTCGAAGTATGTACTTTTTTCCAAGTACAGTTTCGAGCACAGAGTGAGGACAGGAAATTTGTGTGAAATTTTTGCGCGATATCTCGAAAGATTTGTAGGAAACGATGATTTTTCGATCATGATTTTGGAAGAATTAAAGGGAAAGAAAGAAGTTTGCCTTTCGATTTTATGAGTGATATTTTGGAAATTTTGGAAAAAAGAACGAGAGCGTGTGAAAAGAGGAAAATAATGAATATACAATTAAATTAGATCACTTAATTAGATGACAATTGATAAAATTTTGAACGTTTGATAATAAAAATGTTAAAACTGATATTATAAATTTCTTTTCTAACATGTTCGATATTTATTACAAAACAATTTCTCTAAAAATATCTCGATCATTTCGATTTTTGTTTTATATTTGTACATTGCGCAATATGCAATATCGCGAATCAATGCAAATATGTACCATTTTAACATAAAAAAAAAAAAAAAGGAAAAAAAGGTAACAGTTCCTTCAAATTCTTTAATATATTCATTCCATTTTATTTTCTCCTATATAACAAAAAAAAATCTAATTTAATCTTCTCAATTTCATTTCCCTTTTCCTACTCGACGTCCCGTGTATATACATTTAACTTTATTTAATTAAACACTTTGTAAAAAAAAAAAAATTTGTAAACGCCATAAAGGGAATATGAAAAGATATCGCTTAGAACCAGCATAGAAAAGAAACGTCTCCTAAAAATATGCTCGATCGCCCTTGTAAATAAAGATAGAATAGTAACAATTGAAGTGAATAGCGCGGCAAGACGTGGCGTGGCACTTTCTTTGAAATTCTACTAGGCAATAAAGGGAATAATCGGATGGAGAGTTTAATTACGAGGGAGACGGGGATTACGAAAAAAATTTCATCAATGCCGTACGAACGAATGAGCAAAGGATTTCATGTTGTAAAACTCACCGGAAGTGGCCACTATCGCGTACGTAGATTTATACTGTGGGCTGACAAGGGGTGAATTGAATTGTTCCATTGTCAAAGACTCGTGCATACTTCCGTCCTCGGGCATGTCCGGCGATACGTGATTGGCAGTCTCTGTCAGCATTCCACCGGGGGTTAAATTTAGGAGGAGGCCCTGAAAATCGTTCGTATCGTTCGTATCGATCGAGAGAAAATTATATCCGCTGGAATAATTTAATTTCGCGCATATAAGAAGGATGAACGAAGTAAAAAATTCTCTCTTTCTCTCTCTCTCTCTTTTTCTTTTCTACGGGGAAAAAAAAGAGGATCGAGAAACGACGAGTCGACTCGTGCCGTATTAGAATGGTAAAGTTTGCTTGACTTTAAATGACAAATTAAAATCCGTGTTATCGGTGTAAGAAAAGTTTCGGCATATTTATGAGCTTGCTCCTTACCTTCATGTTTATGGCGAATCCAAATGGATTTTTCAGAACGGTCGGCGAGCTTTGAAGTTTTTGCCGTCGATTCAGAAGGAGAATAATGGCGAACACCACGAGGAGAAGTAGGATAATGGCGGTCAGAACACCTATTAGTACCTCTAAATATTCCTGACCCTCTCCCGCTACTGTAACTATGCCAAATGTTTCGCTTTAATGGAGAACGATAACCTATTCCCGTATCTTTATTTCTCTTTACACAAATAAAACGAAACGAATGCTTTTTATTACTACTACTACTACTACTACTGTTACATAAAAATCGACGTGTGCCAAGTGAAGAGGAATGAGAATAAAAAAAATATATAACGTTTGAATATTTTAAAAAATATCAAATATCAAATAATCTTTAATTTTTATTCCTTCCATCATCGAGATAATTTTCAACTATTTTTCACTTCACTCGAGTATGTAACTCGGAGCATTCGAAATCTATCGACGCGGAGGGGCGAATAATCGAATAATAAGGAGGCGGAGGGGGAGGCAATTCCGGTTAGTGGACTGAAAGCGGACGAATCTTTTTCCGCTAGAAACCGTTTTATCGCTCGTAAAAAAGGGGCGTGGAATTCCTTTCTTTACCCTTTCTGTCGCTTAAAAAGCCGTAAACATTTTATCGCGACGCGGCTAATCGTCGTTTCATCGAGAGAGAAAGTTTACGTAATCGAGAAAAACTTGGAGGAGGAGGAAAAAGTCTGGAGGAGCTCGAGAAAGAAAGAGGGAGGGGAGAAAAGGGACAAGAGGACGAATGAGCAAGGGAAAGAAAATACAAGGGTGTACGAGAAAAAGGGGTCGAGGGAATAAGAAGAGAAATAAGAAGTGGCTACGTAAGAGGGGAAGGAGAGTGAGTCGTCTGAAAAAGACGGGAACTCGTGCGGCCAACTTCGATAAAACCGACTTTACAATGCGCCGTTACATTCTTCCAATTTTTCACGTCGGCCGCTGCTTTATCGACCGAGCGGCTTGTGCCCCGCTTCGGAACGGAAGTGTGGCGTCACGACCTCCGGTTTTACGAGAGAAATAAATAAACGGAGAGTGGAGGCCTCGCGTGGCGATCAAGATCTCAGACCTTTAGGAGGCCAGAGACTCGGAGACCGATTTTCTTCTATCACCAAGCCTGGTACGAGCAAAACTGGAACCTCGTGTTACCTCGTACTATGGATCGTGTCCGAGCAATTTCGATTTTAATTCGGGAGCACAGGTCCCCAAGGACCCGTACACCGGCCATTCCAGCCAGAAAATTCACCCTTTAAGCGACATCCTCTTTCCATCGATTTAAAAAAGAAAGAAAGAAAGAAAGAAAGAAAGAAAATGAACAAAGACACACCGGAAGCTTTTCAACTCTTTTTTATTCTTCATCCTTATCTTTTTATTTTTCGCTTTTCATTCTCACGATATTCCTCGAATTTCTTACCATTTTCTTCTCTCTCTCTCTCTCTCTCTCTCTCTTTCTCTCCTTTCTTTCCCCTAATACACTCGTGTTTTCCTCCCCCTCGACGATAATATCAACAGGCATAAACGAGCATACTGCCTCGCATTGTTTCGATATCCCGCACACGGGATTCCACTCGCTCTCGTTTCTTCTTTTCCTTTTATTTTCCCTCTCCTTGTCTCCATTCTACGTTCCCTTTTCCCTCTCCCTCGTCGCGTAGCGATTTCAACCGCGTGGCAACCATTTTTTTTTAACAATCTTGAAGCAATCTTGGTCAGCAACGCGAATCGGAAACGGAACGGCGCGATCGCACCGTGATTATCCGTTTAATTAAGCCACGTCTACTTATCTGTTTATCTAACCACCTTCACGGGGCTCGAGTTTCTTTCTTCTTAATTTTCCACTTTCGCCCGATTAACCCGGCTATTTTACATCGACGACCACCAACTTACCTCGCCCATCTCGATTCTCCCTCCCCCCCTCCCGTTAATCCCGCTCTTTATCCAGTCATTAAGCTCCTCCCCCCTCCCCCTCCCCCCTTTTTTCCAACCGCTCTTTTTCTCTCTTCCTTCTCTTTTGTCGGGAAGGTAAACTTGGCCTGTGGAAGTGTTATCCGCCACTGGATTATTTGAAAGTGTGTGCGAAAATGTTTGTCGAGAACGCGGCTGGTAAACGAGGTTAAATTTTTGCGGTCGCTTGTGCGGTCAGTTAAAGAGGGCGCTTTGAAACGTGGGAGGTACACGGCTTGGATAGACTTGTTAAATAACGCGTGATTTATTTATTAAATTTGTTTGAATTTAATTTTGTGCATTCGCGACTGGAGGGAGGGATGAGAAATCTGTTGTTCATTCTTTGAACGTATCTTCCTTTCAATTTTCGATCGAATTAAATTAAAAAAGCTGAAGAGATTAGGCGAGAGGAGATCGGCTACCTCGAAATTTAGAAATTTCCTCTTTTTGAATTTGAAACTAATCCAAAACGAGATTGCACGTATAAAACGATGGAATTTTCGATTTTGGGAGCGACCATCTTTCGATTCATTTTCTTCATTCGAAAATTTCATTTGTATAATTGAATTACTCTTAATCTTCTGTCTACTCAGTTGTCTAATTATCTCAATGTTGACAATTCTTTTACACAGAATATCTTTAGAAACAATCGTCCTTATTTCATTTTGTCTTTCAATTCTTGAGATCTTGAGATCCCTTCGTTGATTGGAAAGTAGATAGAATTAACAATTGTATCCAAAGACATCGATCCTTTTTCTCCCTTTCTTTCTTTTCTCTTTCTTTTTTTTCTTTAAAGCTATCTCTTCCCTCGTTGCCCCGCGCAAATGGACAAAAACCGAGATTTCGCGTACGCTCGTTTTAGTTATGACTCGTGTCTAACGATGCGCTTCTTTATTTTCTCCGCTGGATAATCGCGACCAAACCGGGGATTTATTCGCGACAGTCGAGAGGAGCAACATTTTGAGCAGAATTTCTGGACACAGGGAAAACGAACGACTCGTTTGTTGTTCGGTCTATCAGGGACGTGTAATTAAGCCTGTGTCGTGACCACTTCCCGTCCCCTTCCTATTTGCCTTCGATGTTTCACTCCTTTGCCTACGTTTTCTCGTCAAGTGTACCGATTATCCTATTGTTTATATTCCTGTTTTACACGCAATATCAGACAGCTTGGCAATTTATTTTATCAAACGAGGTAATTTGAATCGCGGTTCGTTCTTAATGATCGTAGGGGAAAATATTTTTTTGACAAGCAAGTAAAAGCAAGTTTATGGTGGAAAACAGGAAAAGAAAAGAATAGAATAGAATGGAATAACAAAAAAGAGTAACAAAATAGAGTGATATATCCCGACATAGGAAATTTTTCTTCCATAATTGGAAATTCGATTCCTCAAAAAGAGTGCGTAGAGAGTTTTCATGAAGCTAAAAAAAAAAGGGGAGGGGAGAAAAAAAAGAAGAAAAAAAGTAAAAGAAGAAAGAGAAAAAAATGGGGAAAAAGAGAGAAACGTTTCATCACGTTATGGTTCTCTAAAACTCTGCTTTTTCCCTGCTTGAATTAAAGCCGATGCATTCAGCCGTGATTAAAGTTTTCAGAACAACTGACGCGGCAAGGATGAACCAGTTTTAGGCAACATTCTCTCATTCATTCTACTCAAAATGACGTACGATAAAAACTACGATAAAAAAAAAAAAGACAATGTATTTTTATTGGTTAAAATAGACGTTTCGGGGGATAATATCGTATCCATAGCCCCGCCATTTTTTTCTTTTTTTTTTTTTGGTTTCATCCTATCGCTGAATCGCGGTAAAAAAAAAAAAAAAGAAAAAAAGGAAGAATAACGACTCTTTCACCCTCGATAAAATCGATTTTCGTCGGAGAAATCAACGCCTGTCTCTCCTCTTTTTTACCTCCACGTTTTCCACGAGCCGAGTACCCTCTTAATCCGACTAATTGTTTACGTTACGACCAAGTTGCTACGCGAATTACAAACTATCCAAAGTTTCTTCGTTCAACGGTTCCACTTCGCGACTCTAATCGTATTCCCCTGTTGCCCTCCCGGCAAAGAATGGCGGCTTGGTTCCGCTGATGAAGTTACTACCTTAGTCGGACAAACCTTACGTATTCTCACTGTCTCGCAAAGAGGAACGAAACTCGATCGAGGGCTTGTTTTCGAGTCGCATAATCGCACGGCAACAAATTGGGCAATTGATTTTCGAACGGATGTCGAGGACGAGGATGGTTAGGGAGAGGGGGTGTAAGAAACAGGGACATTTCCTTTCTCCTCCAAATGCGTAATTCGATTGTTAATCCGGATGTTTAAACACGAAGGAGGAATGATGGAAACGTGGAGTTTGATGGACATTGGAAAATTCTGTTTGAATTGATCATTTGTAGGGAATATATCCCGTTTCGAATATCGTAATCTTTGAAATACGTTTCATTTTTTTTTTTACATCGATCCTCCACTTTAGTTGTTCTAAATTTGTGAGAAGCGTGTTTTGCACACACTTTGAACGAACAATTCGAGTGGAGTTTTTTTTTTTCGACGAGAAGAGGAGTAAAGTTCTCTTTCTTTCGAATAAAATAAAATTACGAATTTTACGTATTTTTAATTAATGCTCCATTTCGAGTTTAATCATTATTATTATACGACGAGAATTGAATTTTGTTAAAATTTCAAGATCAAGTTCGAGAAACGAGATTTCATAATCATCGAATTAATGACAAGGGTATTTCATCAGATATCTCTTTGAAAGTGTATAACGTGTAGGATGCTTGGAGACTTTTACTTTGCAACGAGTATCCCATGAACTTTAATAACGTGCATTAATATACAAGTTAAGAAGATACGGTTATTATATATATATATATATATACGTAACAGTCTTAAAATGAAGTGCAACCAAGCGGGCAAATTTTAATCAGAGTGTAAGAGTCGCACGGTTAAAGGGTAAATAACAAAGGGTAATAATTAAGCGTGATGAAGTTATACACCTATATTATATGCCATGTACACTCGTATGTACACCGTGTTCCAGTTTCTAGCTACCAAACTTTGTATCTTTTCTATATGTATCTTTTATATACATATATATATATTTTGTTTAGAACTATACTTTATAGGCAAAGTTTGAAAACTGGAACGTATATAAAATATTGAATTTATATATACATATATGTAAAAGCGAGACTCGTATTTTATATATTTATGCGCAAAGTGTCACTGTTTCCGATTTTATCTATTGCCCTTTTCGAACCTCCTTGGGACGTAATGAGCTCAATATAGTAGAACAAAGGCACAACCCACTATATACGGTTTATTTCCTTTATTTTAATTGAATCACTTCACGACCTATTCCTCGATAAAATATATCTCTATTACTTAATTTTCTTATTATCACGTCTCAAGACTTTTACTTTTTTCCCCCTTAATCGACAACGAGTCACAGTTGCCAATTGTTCGCAAAGAATTCTTCCGTTCAGACGAATCTTAAGGCTCTTTCCAAGTGATGACGAACGGTGAGAGATAGGATAGATGAGGAAAAGTTTCGAATGCTCCGGGTGAAATTAACTCGGGATTGATACGAATTAAATGGCGCCGCCGCTGTCGAGTCACTTACTTGTTTGCAAGTCAAGATCCACCTCGGAGTCCATTGGAATTTCCCCGTTACCGAGCTCGGATGCTGACTCCTCGGTCGTGTTTTCATAAGGATTCGCTGGAACAAGGAACGAGGACGCGTCTCGCTAATTAAACCGTTCTAAGTCTTTCTTAATCTCGCTCAACAACAAAGCCCCCACCTTTTTCACCCACCCTCCCTCCACTTCCGATTTTAACCCGCATTAAACGGCTGCGGATTACCCGCATTATTCGAGATAAGCTGTTTATTAATAAAGCCTCACGCGTGACCATTGTCCTCTTCGTCCGTATCCTTGGGTGGTTTTGTTTCGACACTCGAGAAAATTAAACACGCTCGCAATTTTTTAAAAATTGCCCACATTAATATTCGCGAAAGTATCTTTAAAAATCTGAAAATCCATGAAGAGCCATCCGACGTATTTGGGCAACGTTCTTGCGAAAATACTTTTTACAACAAAAACTCGGTTATTATTCGAACGTAGAACGTTGATTTCTGAAATGAAATTCCAATTAGAAAAAAAAAATTGTACAAAGAGAAGATAAGGATTTCCGTGACCGGTTGTATCGCTGTTAACGAGCCTTTTTTCCTTCAAATTCCCCGTTCGATCCTCTTGCTTCCGTGAAACTTTATTTTTAACCGGACTCGCCAGGGGAAATTCCCCAAGGAAACATTCGCGGGAACTTCGATTCGAAACGATTGCAACTTTAATCCGAGCGACAATTAGAATCGATGCGATGAAATTGGGAGCGCGGAGGTGAAATATTCGGAGACAAAGGTTTGAAAAGCTATCGCGGCGTCACGCGTTGGCGAACGCGGAGGTAATCCGATTCTCGTTACCATCTCTGTTATCGAGACAGATCTTGCTACCCTTGTGAAATGATAATTAATCGACTCGAAAATCTTTCTTTTGTAAAAACGCGACGAGCTCTCTCTGATTATTTAAGAAAAAAAAAAAAAAAAAAAAAAGAGAAATTAGCCGAGAAAACGGAAGAATACTCTTGGCACGGGATCGTTATTGGCTCCGTCCAATCTCTATCTAACCGTTGAAAGAGGATACTCACTTCCGTCGAACACCACCTCGCTGATCATGATCCATCGGGCGGCGAAGTACAAATGTATCTTGAGAAATCGTCCTTCGCGCTCGTGCAACCCTATCGAGACGTTTCTCGCGTTCTCCAACACGAGATCCGGTATGTAGGAGTAGGACAATGGCTCCTCCTCGTAGGTGGCGCCATCTACGCTGAACCAAACGTCCGCTTTCGAGAATACCTGGGCGCACATAGAGAATTCCGATCGATGAACGAGAATTCCTTCCCTCTCTCTCTCTCTCTCTCTCTCTTTTTTTTCGTTTTCGAATAATTCGTAATAAATTAAGGTACGTGATTAATTAAAATTAAAACGTAGCCGGATAATAATAACGGAATATCGAATTTCTCGGGAAATTTAAATCGAAATTTCATCGGAACGGTATAAGCCGGAATAATATCGTACGAAAGACAATACGTTCGAAACGATAACGATCGGAAAATTAGATAGTTAATTAATTCAGGGAACATAATACATTGTGTAATTCGATAAATTTAATCGCATTCTCCCATTGGATGGCCGTTGAACCGTTTCTTGTCAGCGGTTTCAATTTTCAGGGTTAGTTGAAATATCATTCGATTGACAAAGAAATTTTCTCGATTAATTCTGGTCGCAACGATCTGCGACTTTATCGAGAAAGTCGAGGGGAAAATTCACGCGCTGTGGAGTCCACGTGCCACGGAGGAAGCGGGGAAGGAGATATACACGGTTTTAAAGGGGCGGGCTGGCTGATGGACCATTTGCTGCGGCTCATCGTGCGAGCAATAACCGGTACTTAAGGCTGACTCACTTTTAATGGCGAGGCCTTTCATCCGAATGAAAGGACTATACGGACGAATCGTCCGGCATTGATATTTCAATGCGCGTGTTGCTCTCAACGCCGATTTTCCATTCATCGATTACAATTTCGTTTGTATTCGAGATAGTATATTCTTTTACATCGGGGAGGAAAAAATCTAAATACCTTGGAAATTGTGAAACGACCAATCACACGTTTGAAAAAAATTTCGTGTAAAAAATTAATTACCATAATTCTTAGGAAGAAAAGAAAAGATGTTCGAATCTTTCATCAGACCGATATGATAAAGTTCTCTTGCAAATATATTTGTATCGATATGATTAATCCAAAGATCGATTATCGAGAATAACTCGTAAACACAGTTCCCTGTTTCAAAGTTTATCCCTTCGATATCTGTATAGACCCATAATTGTCAAAAAATATCATCGGATCGGGTTTAACTTTAACAGAATTTAAACTCGCAACTCTTTCTCCGACATAAAATTCGATAATCGATCCGATTTGTCTCTCCTTCGATACTTTTAATCATCACAGATCCCGGTTCCGCTGGAAAAAATATATATATATATACATATCTATAACTAGTGGTCTGCTGGCCATTAAAAGTTTGATCTTTTAACGCGGCTCGTTGGCTCGTAGGAATTATAGGAGGGGCGCGTTAAAAGATTACCCACCTGAACGTCGCGGGAGAAATAATTATTGGTGTAGATGTGGACCGCCTCGAAGATCCAGGTTACCTCGAACTCGAACACTAGCTCCACGTAATCGTCAACGAAGGTGTCGCGCATCCAGGCGACCCATCCCGTCCCTGGAAACGAAAAAGTATCCGTTTCAAGCGGAATTCATTTACCGCGAATCCATTCCAGCCACCCCAGCGCGAGCCAACTTCGTTACCCTGGATCGAAGTTAAAGCCTGAGCACCGATTGATCTATTGTTTCTCTCGTTAATTGAATTGATTCCGTTCGAAGTAACTTCCTGTCGATTCCTCCTCTCTCTCTCTTCATTTCTCCCTCTCTTTGTTTTGTAAAGCGTCGTCTATCGTAGCTCTGCGTTTACAGGTGCTAAGTACCGATTGACGGGTCTTTTGAGCAGCGAGGAAACTTAAACTATTCCGATTGCGTTCGGTTTTGAATGCGTTGACGTTTGGAGAATGTAGGAAATTTTAGAAATTTTTAAATAGAGAGATGAAAATTGGTGGTGTTTTTTTCGAAATCGTGAAAAATATGGATAAAAATTGAAATCTTATTATAGATCGTACTTGACTCCAATTACTTCCCTCGAAGATATGTTGATATCAAAAAATTTAAGATGATTCTCTCTCCGTATCTTTCGCTTAATAAATTTCGAATATTATACATCCAAAGTTTCAGGGAAGAGTGAATTTTTCGCTGAGAAAAATGTACAAGATTTCTCTCAAAATCGTCGATCCACGAATAATCGTCGAGCCACCCTGGTTTGGGTTTATCCCAAATACCGCGTCGATTTCTCACGTCCGCCCGGAGATATCTTCGAGACACCTTCAGTTTCGGCACTTAGCACCCCTTCTCGTATCCACCCACCGATTACCTCTTCCATCTCCCATGTCCAGCCTGTAATTATCCGCGCCGACCTCTCCATCGATCAGCCGGCCTAGACCATCGGTCAACAAGTTGTCCTGCCTTTTACCGTCGTAAGAGATGTCGCTCAGCTCGATTGTCGGGGATTCCGGTATGGTGTAGCTCACCACGCCACCTGAAACACGAGGAGGAAGTTTATGTAGTAGGTGGCCATGCCTCTCTCCCACCCCCTTTTTTAACTCGAACAAGTTTGCTCTCGCGAGGGAGTGAGAGTTGAGGATGCGTGGACGAAAGAGATTATTGTGCCGATTCGACGTTGTTTCCTCGATTAAACGATGATGGAAATTGCGGAAATTGGAATGGAATGGAATGGAAGGAATCAAAATTTCACCATTTTCTTTTTTAGAGATCTTTTTCTTTAATAGAAAGAGAATTTGATTTTACAGTAGATATGTATATAAGTTAAGTATTAAATTTGAAATTTTAATTTTTGATATTTTAGAAATAAAGTTACTGTGAATTAACTGTAAATCAAATTGTTATATTATTGGATTTAATATGATGCAAAAATATGCGCTTGTAAAATTATTAGTGAAAGTTTAGAAATGACTCTTTTATAAGACTTACAATCCATATCTTCTAATCTTATCCATTCCCTTAAGCCTGAATCAAAATAATAATTAATAATTAATAATTAATATTATTATAATTAATTAATAAAGCCCGAATCAAAATAATATTCTCAATAAAGTATAACAAAGATCAATATATCTGTTCAAACAACAAAAAATTCAAACTCGTAAAAGAACCAGGTAACGTTTCGAGAAATAGATATCTTCTCTCTCGACACCTAGATGTCACGATAGTCGTTGAATTTTGTTCACCTAAGTTTAATCCAGCGACTGTTTCGACTTGAATTCGAGATTGATAAAATATTTCTTGGTCGAAGGGAAGCTTTTAGAAGGAAAGTTGCGGCCGATCTGTCGGCCGATACGTTGAAGAATAATGGATAGATGTCGGGAGATTCGTTAGACAATCGTGCGATAAAAATGTTTGGGCGAGGATCGGGTATTCGGCGGCGAGAAAAATTAATAATGAACGACGCAGAAACGACTCGTGTGTCTCGTGCTAGTGTCTCGCCTAACTGCCCTCAATATTTCACGGTTTCTACGGTTTTCTACGTGGACTGTGTCACGCGATGCGGTCGAACGAGTTTACGTTGGCTCGCGAGCTAAGAAGGGAAATATTAAATTTTAGATTTCGTTTCGGTGTCCGTTCTGTTCCGGATAGGTGTAAATTGGAATCGTTTCGCGGGTATAGAAAGTAAGTTCAATATTTAAACGGCGGTTCCGTTGTTTTGTTTGTCTAAAGTTTCGTCGTAGAACGACACATTGAAATTTCTCTGTATGTAATATTTGTATCTTCAATTCCGATAGAAATTTTAACGGAAGGACACGAAGAATAAAGTTTGCGAAAAGGGTGAACGATGAATAGGAAATTTGTAAATATATAATTCATTGCGTAGAAATATTATATATGAAATTTTTAAATAATTTTAGTGGATGGCGATGCATTGTACATTTCTTTTTTTTTTTTGTACAATTACACGATAGTAATGATAATCGAGTACAATGCTATTGTGTATTCGATTAAACGAGACTGAGGGATTGTCTCTGGAACAAGTGGAAAATTGTTCCAAAAAACTGAAAAAAAGAAAAAAAATGAGAAGGACAGAATGAGAAAGATGTAGAGGAAAGAAGGGTAGTTGGAGTAGAAAGACGTGGAGGAGAAAAGGGAGTAGAACAATGAGATAAAAAGGCAGTGGTTTGTAAAAGCCTGATTGTTAAGTCCAAGCAAAGAATAATGAGACATTCTACGCAAAGAATATTACCTATGTAGGAAATATGTATAGCGGACAAGATAGCAGAACAATAATAGATGAGTAAATAAATTTCAGATTCCTATTAATGTACCTTTAATTACGTTTAATTTTCTATTGTCAATTCTTTTTTAAAACATTAAATATATTAAACCTGAGTGTTGAACCTAGTTAATTGACTTTATTAACTCTATTGTCAAATCCTCGTTTTTTCAAAATTTCACTTCACCACTCGAAGACAATATTTTATTCGAAAAGAGCGAAGGTAATTCGTATAATTAAAATTCTTTCGAATTTCGTTCGAATGAAAATGAATAGGCTCCCTAGAATTCTTTATCAACCCGGCGAAAATCCATTAAGGATCTCGATGCTCGCTGCCAACTTCCATGGCGCGTGCATTAAAAGTACATATCCCGTGTTAACACGAAACCGTGTACACGCCGCCGTTACCGCGACTTCGCCCTGTAATCCGGCAATCCGCTAATCTAATCTGCGTTGGCAATCCTCGTCCCGGCCGCCGCACAAATTATTACAAAGTTTCATCGAGTGTCGTTAGAGCAATTTCCACGGAAGTTGCCCTCAAAGGCGAAGAGTGCACTCGTAACAAGTTTCGAAATCAATCCTCCCCACCATCTTCAACTTCAACAAGATGGGGGTCATTTTCGAAAGCCACTTTTCATTCGTGGTAGTCACGAGTAACGAGACATTGATTATATCTTCCATCTGTGTCTCGTCAACGTTTCGATACTTTTGCTTGGTCAACGGCTATTGATATCGAGCAAGCTTGTGAAAATTTATTTATCTTGTTGGGGCGAGGGATGTATATATACGAAAGGAAAACTTTACAAACCTTATTGTTTCGCGATTTCGTTGTTCCTTCCCTCATCAGTAAGATATTGCTGATGATGCTCTTTTGTCTCGTCAGATTTCCAAGAGATTTTGTTAATTTTAAACTTTTTAACGGAGAGAAGGTAGACGAGAAAGTGTTGGTCGCGGGGATAAAACCGAGGGGGTGAAACGACATTGACAGGGAAGATGCAGGGAGGATGATTAATATCGAAAGCTCGAACTCGGGCAACATTCAAAATGCCGAGGGAAGTTACACTAAAGCTAGTGTGATATTACGAAGCGAGTTAATTTACGTAGCCTGATAATAAGATATGTAAGAAACAATGTAACCCTGGAATTTAAACACATTTCAAGCACTGGTAACGATCATTAATGGGATCGTTTGCTTAATTACAAGTCAGACTTCCTTCGTCCAAGGGATACCAATTACGCGAAATATTACAATCAAAGAACCTATTCCGTCAAGCCGTCCAAAATCTCATGTACGAAGGCCGACTATCGCTCGATTTCATCTACCAAACTACCGTGATTAATTTAGAAATATAGACAAAACGGGGCTTGGGATATCGTTATGGAACACGCGTACGTAAAAAAAAAAAAAAAAAATTTTTTTATATCCTCCCAAAACACTAGCCTCCAGCGCCGCCATTAAGATCTTAAAAGTATTTTAAGCATTAGAGGGAAAAGCTGGGAAAATATATGAAGGGAGGGGGGAGGGTTGAAGAATATTAATAAGAGAGGTGTGCAAACTCGTTCTTCGACTCGATTTCGAGAGCGATCTTTCGTGTTCGCCGTGTTCGTCGGGTGGCGCAACGTTGTTTTTTAACCAGATGTCGTGCACGGCCGTCATAAATCCGCCATTCCCGCCCACCACCGATCTCACACTCAGCTCTGAACGCTTCTTATAGCGTGAAACCTCTCGTGTCGCCCCTTCTCATCGCACATCCCCCTACCCCTTCCATCGTTTTCGTTCCTCTTTTCTTACCCCTCCCCCTTCCATCCTAACCTCTTCGACATTAGCGACCCAGAAAAATCATTTATGCAAATGACCGGCCATTACACCGATATTGATATACCGCGGTGTTGCCGCGCCAGGTCACGTTTCCTTCGACAAAATCTGTTATATCTGTCTTTTATTACGTGACCCTCGTTTCCCTTTCTCTTTTCTTCTTTTCTGATTTTTATTATGCCTCCCAGCATCCCAGGTAACTAGTTCTACTGTACATTGTATCTATTTACGTATACATGTGCTCGTGGCATTTATTTTTTGGAGGGTAGTCGAGTGATTTTCACAGAACCGATCATGAAAATAGTTTATTAGTGAAGCGATGCATCTGTAAATAAAATCATATAAAATGGCGAGCCACGTACGGTATAGGTCAGAATCTCAAACGAACGTTTTCTTTCGCCAATCATCATTCTTACAACGTTTCGTGAAATTCATGGGAAAAAGAGAAGATACAAGAGTTTGTTTCAAAGATATTTTAGAATCTTCGCTCTTTCCCCAATTTCCTCCGGATCCTTCGACAATTTCGCACTAAAAATTTCAATTTTTAATATTCCCGGGGAATGGTGGGGAGGACGTGGAATCTTTTGGATACCTCGATACCTTAACGATCTAAACCGAAAACTAGAACCGAAACCTCTAGAGTTTACGGTTCGACGTGTTCTCCGATATCCCCTAAAACTCTTGGAACCCCCTGAAACCATCGACATCCGATGTCCTCTCAGACTACTTCTGAGATTCCCGACACTCTCGGGAATCTGAACCGAATCTAACTAGACCTAAACTCTTCGATATCTCTCCTCCCCCCTCCCTGCAACTTTATTAATCAAACGAAGCGCTATCAGGTGAAATATTTCTTCTTTCGTACTCGAGACTTCGTTTTTTTTTTTTTCTTGAAAAAGATAACTCTGATGCAAAATTACGAAGTGTAATTTTCAAGCATCGTAGCATATTAGATGTTTCATCAGACATTGAATAATATACGTAAATATCAGCAATGGATGTAAAGGTACGTCTGATCGTATTATTCTTTTCGTTTTTATTTAATTTAAACATAATTGATATTCGAAGATGCGAAGATACGAAGTTATGAACACCAGCATACGTGTATATTATTTTTCTAAAAAATTATATACGTCGCTCTTTTAACTGTAATTTTTTCAGATAAATCAAAATCAAAAAAAAAATAGAAAATAATCATTCTTTATTCTAAATATATCTGTCAAGACATTAAACACGTCAAGCTGGAATCTCCAAATAAAATATTCCATTTCATATCTCGAAAGAGTTTTCACAGTAATACAGCGTGAGGTCGAAATAGCAAAAACGGGGCACGTGTCTGAAAGCACAAGCACCTTAGGGATTTTTGCTACGTGGAAGCAAAAAATATCGGGAAGGCACGCGACTATTATTCTTTAACTTATCATGATCGAAGTTCACGTCGTCGTCGTGTGAAATCCGTTGCAAAAAAAATTTCCTTGTCCAGAACTACTCTTCCCCCTTTTTCGCTCATTAAACATCTTTCCCCGGCCGTGGAACGAAATCGACGAGTTTCACCGAGAGATATTATAACAACGAAAACAATTAACAATCACACGTTTCGGGCGCGTAAAAGTTTCTCTCTGTTAACAGCCGGAGGCGGTTCGAATTAAATTAAATTATGATTAAAAACAAACACACGTGTCGTGAGCGCGTGGACAACGATACACGTACAACGTAGGAGGAAAGGGAAAAAGAAGAGAGGGAGAGAAAGGAAGATGAAAAGGGAACGAAGGGGAATATAAAAGAGCGAAACGTTATGAAGCTCCGCTTCGTTTGACTTTTTACTTCGGTAAATTAGAAAACACGGTTAGAAATTTCATTTTATGTAGCGCGAGTGTCACGTGGTACGTATGTGGAAGGATGGATCCCTTTTTACGCGGTTACAGCTTTCCGCGACGAGGCGAATTATGCGAAATGAAACGTGAAATATGCAAAACGAGACTTTATAAGCGCGATTATTTCTCGTTTTGATTGATAATATACGTATAAAAGTATATATTGAAGCTTTGAAAATAATACTGACCCGGTTCCATAAGTATTTCTTTTTTTTTTTTTTTTTTATACGTATAAAAATAAAAAAGAGAGGGAAAAAAATGTTCGAGCCGAAAGGGTAAAGAATATCATCGGTGAATCGCCAAGAGGAAGAGGAGCAACGGTTAATTTTGTGCTCGGCTGTGTAATGGCTGTGTAAGGTCACAGGATTTCACCTCTTTTTTTCGATATTTTAATTTTCTCTTTTTCTTTTTTTCCTTTCTTTTTTTTTTTTTTTTTTTTTTTTACCGGTACTTCTTGTATTCTAATAGTAGCTTTAATTAGTATTCATATTCCCTTTTCTACCCTTCTCTCCATCCTTCCTTTTCCTCCCTTCTCTCCCCATTCGACTCGAGGCTTTATTTTAAATGCATCACCATTCTGGAACAGTATATTTAATCCCGATAAATATGTCGGCCATAAATATTAATACCAGGTTTACAAAAAATATGGGTCAATTGATTTGTTCGAGAGAGAGAGAGAGAGAGAGAGAGAGATTCGTTTCTATTNAAAAAAAAAAAAAAAAAAACAGTTCAAAAACTAGTTCACTATTCTACGTTCTTTCACGTTCCATTCGTTACACGCGATAATTCCATCCCCTGTTCTCGTGCACGATGCTCGATATGAAATATTAATTTCGAATTTGCCGCGCTCGTTGCACAACGTTTGCGTATTTATATCGCGTCTCTGCGGAGATTTTTAAAAAAAAAAAAAAGCGTTGATTCGATTGATTTCACGAGTTATTGATTAGTAGCTTTTAGCACGGAAAAATTGAATTTGAAAATTCGTAATCTTTTGAAAATTCGAAGAGACAAAAATTAAAAAAAAAAAAAAGAAATATATATTTTCGTAACTTCGAAAAGATGAAACAGATATTTTTTTTTGCAACGTATATTTTCTTAATCCTTTCGAACATTCTTTCTCTTTAACGATTTTAATGAATAAATAAATATGAATTCAACGCGAAATGGAATTAATCCTCCTCTGGAAAATTCGATTCATTCGAAAGAAGGCGAATATCGAACATTCTTTTTTGTCAATTCCTAATGAAGCGGATATTTCGTTTAATTCCAATCCACGTTTTACACGCTCGTCCAGGAGAATCTATCAATCACTTTGTCGCACGGGTCAAATTACGGATTCATTTTTCATTTCTGAGGGAGGTAAAGAGAAATACTTTTGAAACTACTGTCGGGAAGATGATGTATCTTTCGTTTAGTTTTCTCGTACAGGGACGTATATACATATATATATATATATACATATCACGTATGTACAAGGAAATAAACGCCCCCATTTTAAGGTCGGTTTCCATCCCCGTTTATACCGCGAAATCAAACGAAACGCACCTCCATCCTGGAATTCTGTCTTCCTTTCTTCCGTGGCAAGAATTAGATGATATCGTTTCGTTCATGGAACGTTGTTGTGACGTTCGCGGAAACCGCGGTGTCGCGCGACCGGATGAACTCGAAAGTTGGAAAGTTCCTCGAGTTGCCGCGTGTTGGCGTAACCGAGAAATCACAATGGCGGTGTTCGCGATTACAATCACAGGGATGTTCGAATGAGAACACTACGCGTGCGACTTTTAGATTTTATGAAAATATTGTTTAAACGGAATGATTATGTTTTAATAACGTGAATAACGAGAGACAATATTTAAAATTATTATACGTAATTTCTATGGAATGGATATTCCATCTACAGAGAATGATAATAATGTATCTATTACAAATTTCTGTAAACAAATTTTGTTTCATAACTTTTCAATTTCCTGCTCTCGAGATATTCTAGTCTATTTCACACCAAACAAACTTTCGACTTAGAAAACTTTTTTTCTTCCCGTTTCTAATTTCAATATTCTGTTTTTTTACTCCATCGTCTCATCTGAAACGTGAAAACGAAACACAGTCCACGTGTTCTTCCACAAGAACTGGGTCGTTTTCTCTATTATTAGACTCGTTTAAGGGGGATCGAAAACAAATGTAGGGAAAGAAATATATATATATATAGAGGGGGTGAAACAGCTCGATGAGCTTGCTCGTATAACGCAGTTACGAGCGTTAATAGAACTCCGGGATCCGCAGTTGGAGTCCAACGACGGATTCCATTCGCTGCCATCTCGGCGACGGCTCGCCAAATTGAATGAAATTGCAATTTGGAAATTAATCGCCGGCTGTTCGGACAGTCGCGTCTCCACGTTTCCAGTAGAATTGCAAATTTACACCGGCTTCACGATTCTTCTTCGTTCTTCCTGGGAGACCGATCCCTCCTCGCAATCTCGCGGTTGGAATTAGGTCGAATTCTGAATCTTTGATATTTATGATATCCCGCGACTTAGGAGGGTGGGAATCTTGGACGATTTGTAGCTCTGTCAGGCTTTGTCATTCGTATATTTTAAGTCGAGAATCTTTCCCATTTGAATATTGGAAACTTGATTACGCGGGGTATATGTAAATTTCAAAAATCTTTCAAATATATTTATACGCGAAACATTTAAAATTTTAATGCTCGAGGGAAAGAGATCTGAATGGAGTAGTTTAAATACACGAGTCGAAATCAAAATTTCGAATACTAGAATATACCGAATATTCAAATTTTCAGTAAAAAAAATCGAAAATTTCCAAAATCTGAATAAAAATTCGAACCTCCTTTACGTTCAACAATCCAAAAAACTCGAATTCGAGCTTCTTCTTCACGTTCTTAATAAATCGACATCACTCACCCGTGTCCTTGCACCCCCTCAGCTCGATCCGAAGGCAAACGGTGCGCCTGTGCTCTGAGTGCGGCAAGATTCGAATCTGGCTAGCGAAGATCGCCGGTACCAATCGATGCGACACCACCGTCGACGTATCGGTATTCCCAGCCAGCACCTGCAAACAACCGTGACTCGAATTCCATTTTTCCTCCTCCCCCCGATTAAACGTTGTCTAACCGAACGTTTAACCGAAGGGCGTGTTAATTAATGACAGTGGCCTGTGAATCGAAACGATCCATCGATCGGTGACACGATGCTCACGGCCGATTTCTTTCGATAAAGAAAGAAACCATTCAATCGATGCTTGTTTCTAAATAATACATACGTTTAATTATACGATTAATTATTTATGATTAATGGTCGAGGAATAGGATTAATTCGGTTAATCCGTCGATAAACAATTTTGTATGTGATAATAATGGAGACGAGGAGACGTAGAGGGCGTTGGCAGCGCGGTTGATTCGCGAGCGGAAACCTAATGGTGATGCAGAGTATATTGTAGGGTGTGTATATACCACGAACGGTCAAATCGACGTCAATATTAATCAACTTACCCGGGGAATCTCAGCGGTGGAGACCGGTGTACGTCGTTTAAACATAGATCATGATTGCATCTGTTCGAAGGTAATGTTACGGTTAATGCACCTACATCGAGGGATCGCGTAAATTATCATTTGAATAAACCTAAACATCTGCGGTTTCACCGGTGTTCATTTAGTTGTTTATATTATTTTTTTTGAAATAATGGGGACGGGTTTGGAAATTTTGAAAAATAATGTAATTCCAATTGTTGCGCGCAATTCGTTTAAACACAGGGAGATATTTTTCGGCGTAAAGAAAAGAAATTGAAACGTTACGCGTACGTGGTTGGATATATCTTTTCCGTGTGTTGCTATGTTCCAACGTTTTGAAACATTGATTTTATGTAAATTTGACATTTCACGGATTTCACGGCCCCGCTGTAAATGTAAATTTTATGCCAAAAAATAAGTAAAGCGTTCGGGTATTTTTGAATCGAGAAAATTGGTGACGTGTAATATCATTAACATGTTGAATGTTACGTGCTTGATCGTTAATGACTGACGATGTCGGAATTAATTAATATATTTAAATTCATTGAATAATGACATTCGTGAAATTGTCGATATTTCAACGTGAAGTATAACAAATCCATTGCGATCAAACAATTCCAATTTTTAAAATACACTCTGCAAATGAATTAAATGTACTGATTCATAAAATCGTTACAAGTAATATCTCCAGAAATGAACGTTTTTAACCGCTATAACTCCGAAGATAGTCACTTTCGATCAACGAACAAACGACCACCGGAAGCGCCAGACTTTCCTCTTTGAAACGCTTTTCGATTCATCCGGATACGACTTCCGGTTCCGGAGATATCGTCGTCTAAAGAAAAGATAGTTTTTGATTATTCGCTTAAAGTGTAATTAAATCGCATTAAAATTGGAGAAATTTTGAATAGCTATAACTCTGAAAATATCCATTTCCGGTCAACGAATGAACAACCATTAGAAGCGTCGAACTTTTTCCTTTAAAATGCTTTTCGATTCATCCCGACACGACTTCCGGTTCCGGAGATATCGTCGTCTAAGGAAAAGATAATTTTTGATTATTCGCTTAAAGTGTAATTGAATCGTATTAAAATTAGAGAAATTTTGAATAGCTATAACTCTGAAAATATCCATTTCCGGTCAACGAACGAACAACCATTAGAAGCGTCGAACTTTTCCCTTTAAAATGCTTTTCGATTCTTTCCGTTACAACTTCCGGTTCCGGAGATATCGTCGTCTAAAGAAAAGATAGTTTTTGATTGTTCGCTTAAAGTATAATTGAATCCTATTACAATTAGATAAATTTTGAATAGCTATAACTCTGAAAACATCCATTTCCGGTCAACGAACGAACGACCACCGGAAGCGCCAGACTTTCCTCTTTGAAACGCTTTTCAATTCATCCGGATACGACTTCCGGTTCCGGAGATATCGTCGTGTAAAGAAGAGGGTAGTTTTTAGTCGTTTAATATCTTCGTCCTTGTCGCTCGGTCGGATCTCTCGCGCAGCACTTCACCGATCTATATCAAACCCAAGCAACAAGCCATTCTTGGAAAAACACAGTACGCTGGAAGAAGTAGTATTGCAGGGAAAAAATGTAGGTCAGTGGGTCGCGATCCATTCACGCGCCGTGTCAAATTCCGTGGAAACTTTGAATGCTTATATCTCGGTGACCGATCGAGATATCGGGATGAATCAAAAAGCGATTTCAATGGTACGGTTTCCTCCTACTTCCCGACCGAGTTTTGACGATAAAAATTTCTCCTTGTTTTTTTTATACTCAGAAGTCTCATTTACCCTCTTTTTCGAACGTAATGTCCCGTTGTCGCGAGACAAAGAAAATTGAACTATTCTCTCCAATCTTCCAAATAAATAAATTTCAAAATTTTATATAACGGATTATCTAAAATTACTCAACTTTTCGGAAACACCAAGAACAATATTTACTTGTCCATTTTATTTAAAGAATTAGAACACATTGAAGAAGTAATAGATGATAATAATACTACAATTTTCCCTTATCCCCTTTCTTTCTATCTCTATCTCTAAAGCCTAGACAAAGAAGAATAATTACAATTCGTCCGGAATAACGTGACTCGCCTCGTGCACACCAATTTCTATTTCCCTGGTAGAAGTGTCCGTCCGGGTAGGATCGCGAAACGAACCGCTTCACACGCTAGCGGCCGATAAATTATCGTTCGTTACAGACACGGCCGCCTATCGCGACCGAGATTGCTTAATTGGACGATTCCCGTGGAACGGCTCTTAATTATTCGACGATCAACCAAATGAAGCGGCTGTTTCGGATTTATTCCTGGATTTAAACGTGGAAAGTCTATTATTTTTTTTTTTTTTTTTCTGAATTCGAGCGAGAATTGGACAATTGATATAACGCGGTAATAAAATAATAGGTAATCGAGATTAAGTATCTGGTAAAAATAAGAGCAACGAAAAGATAATGTATAAAAAGAAAAAAAAAATACGAATCTTCCAATTCATTCCTTTCCCCAGAAGAATAAAGAGATATTATATAAAAATCCTTTCTTACTTTTAATAAATTTAAATCCTCGTTTCGATAAAGTATTTATATATATATATATATATATTTTATTATGAAATTAGGTTGAATCTTGTGATTTCTATGAAATTAAAACGATTCTTCTTATAAGGTTTTATCCAAAATTCTTAGTTAAAAGAGACGAAGCGAAGGATCGAGCGTACACGTGTACTTATCTTCTTCGGTAGCGTCTCACTTTCCTCTTTCCCACCGGTTCAATCTTTTCTATCAGTTAAAGGCTCTCGCCGTAGCTATCCCGTGACTCGAATCGCCCTCGAATCGTCGACACCGGCGGAATCACAATAAGGAGGAATCGAAGCGTTCCTCGTTCAACCGAGAAACTTTCTTCCTCCTCCATCAAAGAATAAATCACGGACTCGCCCCTTTTGCTCGACCCACTCCTCTAACGACCGATTGTTTGACGATGGAATTTTCACGAGGAAATCAATGTCCAAGGCTTTCCAACCCTTTACCCCTCCTTAATGACAATTTGTACCGAATTACGTCAACCCTCCCCTCCTTCCGAATTATAGAACAACTCAAATTACCCAGATACTTTTTCCATGCTTCTCCAAAAGTGTAAGTGCGGTCAATTCACCGACGAGGAATCCCGCTGTCGCGATATTATCATTACTCCCCGTTTCAAAAAGCTCAGGATGTAATAAGCTCGTTAATAAATCGCAACATGGATTCTCTTATAAATTTCTGAAATTAGATCTGTCGTTGAATTTACAAGAATTTACTCTTCTTGTATCGTGAAACAACAAATCTCTCGTTAATGAATATAAAAAAGGAAAGTAAAGAGAAATAAGGATATACACGTGTATACTATTCGGGCAAAACGTTTTTTGTTTCTCATGTTGAATGTAAAAAAATATTTTTAATCAAAGCAATCCGATGTTTTTCAATTCTTACGAATTTAACAATCTTCTTACGTCTTTTTCACATCGAAATATTAATAACAATTTTAGCAAAGAAATCTTCTCAGAAATTTCTAATCCAATTTTTCTCAATTCTTATATTCCACGAATTTTACGTGTTATCTATTCCAAACTTTCCATGTTATTCGAAAAGAATATTACAAATTATCAATGCTAGTTTCGCTTCTTACTTACCTAAAAAATCTTTGAGAAAGAAATCTTCTAAAGCGAATCTAACTTATTCTCTTCAATTCTCCAGATAAAATTACGAAAACGAATTGATTCAAACGTGTCCAATATTAAATATTATTCGAATCATCGAACAGCGATTACTACGTCAAACGGGCAAGATTCAATCAAGAAACAGCCAACGAACAAATGTTGTTCGAAGGCATTTTTAACAAATACCTAAAATAACCAGAACCAAACTTTTAACACGATCACTTTCTCAACGATTAATACAAGATCACATCCGCGTCTCTGAGAAGATCATCTCGCCCGTTTCAAAGTATAAATAAGATCTCATTAGTCATTATTTAATATCGTTAGTAATTATTTAATATCCTTTAGATGTATTATTAAAAATTATATTGTACAAAATTAAAATGAAATATCTCAAAAATTAATTATAAATTCAATAAATTATATTTTATCTAGAGATATAAAATCCACTTGTGATAAAACTACACTATGACACGTAATTTTTACATCTATACATTACGAGTAAAAAAAAATCGAAAAATCATTGATTAAAATTATTTCAAACACTCAGAACACCCAGTATTGTTACCTCCACGTACCTCCTTGTTATCCCACCGCTTGTATCGCCGCCACTCGGCGAACCCTGGTCGCCGATACTCGAGGGTGTACTCCTCCACGTATTCCTGGCCACGGCCGTGATCGTAACGGCCCTGGCTCTGCACACCGGTGATCACGTGGGGACCGGGAAGATCCACTTGCAGCCACTCACGAATTCCTCTTTCTATTTGGCTCTTGGGGCACCACGCGCCGCCGGCCGTCTCCTTGCGCAGCCTGTTTCCGTTTCAGAATTTGTTAGCGTTACCCTTACCGTTCGTCCTTTCGTTTTGATGAATTTTAATGGAGGGGAGGGGGAGGAGGGAGCTTCAAGGTCGGTGGACAGCCGCAACCAATCTCAATATCGCGCGTATATCCTCCAAGAGAGGATTCGTCGTATGAATATTAATATCTGTCCCGCCACGTATTCAATTTTTTTCTTTCCTTCGAGATTTATTTATTTTCTTCGATTTTTTTTTTCTTTTTGCGAGCGTGGAATAGGAAAGTTGGTTTTATTCGAATTATTTGAGTTGGTTTCTCGACTTTTTTCCTTTTTTTATGGAAAATGTGTGTCACGATTTATTATATTGGCGAATTAGCGTTCGATTTGTTTATTCATTAATTTGCAAGCACAAATATTTATCACCCGTTATCTTCGTATTTTTGTAGTAATCAGTAAACAAATTACCGGATATTTTTATTTAAATTGAAAAAGAATTAATTCGAAGGACGTGTATATAAAAATGATGATTCGTGTCGAAGAATCAAATTCATTTACGTCTCTCCGAAAAATTCATTTAAAATTATATCGTGTCGAAAACAGAATTTTTCAACGACGTATCATACGGGTCGCCTAGGTCTCCCTTCAAAATGTATCAAACGCGGATCAGACGGTGAAATATCATCCGTCGAAAGAGGGATAATAATAAAAGGGAGAAGGGCTAAAAAAAAAAAAGAAAGAAAAAAGAAAAAAAGGAAAACAAGAACTGATAAATTTAAAATTTTCGATCGATATTACGAATTGAAATTTGACACACATATCGGTGCGCGTTGGTTCGAAAAGAGGAGAGAAAGGGGAAGGGAGGGTGGGATATGTGAAAATCAATTTTCATTCTCTCTCGTTGAAAATTTGTCCTCGTTCGACCTGTCCGCCCGTGCACGCGTCCCGAAATTGCGCAATAATAATCGTAGCGAAAATGTAGCCACGTCAAAATCGCTACGCGCTCGATTCACGGATCGTTACGCCATCCTCCCTCCCTCCCTCTCTCTCTTTTTCTCTCTTTTCACCTTTCCATTGGGCATTACAATTATCGGCCACCCGGTAATTTTTCACTCGAATTGGACGGGCATAATTAATTGATATTATATTTCCGCTCTCACGGCGAAATGGACAGACGAAATGGTAAATAACTGGAGGAGGGGGGAAGGAGAGGAAGAGAGAAGGGGTTCTCGATGGTTTTAAGTGGTCGATGGTCTAAAGTTGCACAACGGAGTCGATTAATTAAATTTCCATTATGACGTTTTCGCGTCGATGGTTGTTTGTCGATGCGGACGAATATAGACAATTGGAATGGGAAGAAATGTTACTATAATAAATTAGGAATCCATCTTTGGGAAACGATGTCCATTTTGGAGGGAAAATTACGATGTTTCCTTAAATTTTGACGATCTCGAATCTACGTAGGGCGTGAAACGGTTTATTCACAAATGGAAAATTTTCCAGGACGATATATTTTCCCTTTTTTTGGAAAAGAGAAATATGATGTTTTCTGAAAGTGTTGGTTAATCAAATTTGATCCGTCAATTTTTTTTTTTTTTTGAACGTGCGGAGAATTTTACTTTGAAATTTGATTATTTTCAATATTTGTTGAATCATCGAATGCGTATAAAAGCACTGATAGTTTTCAATTTTATACCCTTGTATATTATAACATGAATTACATCGAGCAACGTGAAATAATAATAAAAAATAATTCGATATCAACAATTTCATTAAAAAATGTATATAATTTAAACATTAATTCTAGAAATCTATCAAAGTAATAAATAAATTTTTCTTTCTCCGATTCACTGAAAATATAAAAAAATATGTATCCATTTTTCCTACGCTCCTTTAATCCCGTTACACGTAAAATATTTCAAATTATTTAATCGAATATCTGAGAAAAACTTGTAAAACTCCAAAGAGAATTCTAATTCTAAAACGATACCATAACCATTTTAAGCAAATATATACATTTCTCAAAGTCCAAAAATTGTTAAATTAATAATCGTGAGTGGAATCGGGGCGAAGTTAATGTTTAACCCCCTCCACCGTTGTCCAGACGCGGTTATAGTCCTCCGGCCATTACAGCATCGTTCGAACAAAGAAGAACAATTCACGGGGCCATTCGCCGGTTTCAAGAACTTCTTCGGTTCCATGGAAGTGTACTTAAACAGCGAATCAGGGATTCCGGTTCTTTTCCACCCTCCCTCCCTCCCTCTCTCTCTCTCTCTCTTTCTCTCTTTCTCTCTCTCCCTTTCTCCCAGTTTCGAACGATTCCCAACTCGTCCCAACGCTCGCCACGTTTGCTCTAAATCGAGCCAATGAAACTTCGCGAAACTTTTACCACCTATCGTATCCAACTCGTGCTTCCCTACCTAATAACGAAGTTAACTTGCCGGCTGATCAGAGGATCCGAGTTTTCCTTTTTTTTTTTTTTCTTGTTAAGAGACAATCGGCCAAGGATCCATTTTGGCCTTAAAACGTTTATAAACGCGGCTTCTAACGTGTTTCCATGGGGGAAAGGGGATAGGATAAGTCGTGAGGGAACGAGGTGTGGATAAATAGAAACGTGGCTCGTGTTTGATAGCGTGGTCGAGTGGAAACTTGAGTAGATGGATGTTGGAGGAACAGGGCTCCAAATGCGGGACGGTCTGTAATTCGTGGTATAAATGGAGCCAAGGAGATCCTGTGGTTCAAACACGATGCTCGAAAGCTGAGAAAATCGAATTGTATCTAATTTCTGATTAGATATCTATGTTTTTTTGTATATATATATGAGAATTGTAAATTAGTTGGATTTATTTCGAATGAGATGAATTTAATTAAAGATAAGAAAAAAGCTTTGGACGAGATATCATTTAATTGTAAAGAAAGAAGTATGATTTTATTATTATTCTGTATTCTTTTTTTGTGGAATGATAATAAAATATACATATTCGAAATATTTTGAAATTTTAAATATTTAAACTCTATCGAACTGATTTTAATTTTATAGTAATTATTGCACGTCTTTAATCCCACTTTTATAAATCTGAAAAATCTAATACACTTTGTGAAAGCGAAGGGGTCAAAGTGGTTGAAGTTATATTAAGGTATTAATTTCCCTCCAAGTTTTTAGTTTCGCCCTTCTTGAAACTTCTCAGGCCCGTGAGAAATTTCAGTGAAGTTTCACGAAGTATTCATTATGGTGAAATGTTAGGTGTATCCCTTATGGATGGTAACGCCAAGTGTTCCGGCTGTCTGAACGGTGCTCATTTATAAGGCGTTTCCAGTGTCTGACCACGGCAGACTACCATCACTGAATACTGTTACCAACCAGGAATGGAACATGGAGAAGCTCGATTCCTCTAACCATTTAAACGTTAAACGAAGAATAGGAATATTTTTCGTCGTAATAATTGAACAGAAATAACATTGTTTAATCTTTACCAAGAATAATGATCCGATATTTTTTACCAAAAATCTTTAAAAGACCGTCTTATCGTGTACTATTGTTAACTTATCCAATTTTTACATAAACGATTATTAATCTCATTAACAAGATTATTGATACAATGATTATCCTTAGCTATAGTGCATTTTTCAAGAAATCATACATAAATGCACTTTATCACAAATCACATTTATCTAATCCTACACGAGGGATTAAAAATAAAATAATTGCATTAATTTCTCCGCATAATGATTTGAATAAATCTCCCCCCTGGCCGGATTAATTTCACGAACCCGCGAGAACTTCCAATTCCATTTTTCTCTGAAAAACTCTACGCTCAGCAGCACGACCTCACCCATACCGAGGACAAGATCGTGTCCGGTGTTCGATCATCCGGGGATCGAATATCTTCTCCGCGTCTTTCCAATAACAACGCAATTACCGGAGGATAATATTTCTCGCGGGGAGCTGCCAATGCAGCGCGATATCGGTCCCTCCAAACCCTCTTCCACCTTCCAGTTTTCGCGAATGCGGGGGAAAACCTCCCTCCCTCCCTCCCTCCCCCCGATTAATCTCTCACGCTGGACGCGATTGAAAATAAAATTCTAAAATGCGAAACAATGAGGGGTGGATCGTTAAATTAACGGATAGCGCGGAGAAATGGTGGGAGAAGAGGGACGAGGAGGAGGAGGAGGAGGAGGAAGGGTGTATGCATCGGACGTTAATGCGGAAAGCGTGTCTTTTGCCGGGGGACAGGTTTGATCCGTAACCTCCCTTTTTTAGAAGGCGAGTTAAAAAGGCAGCCGTGGTAGCCATTTAACGCGGAGAAGGGTAGGTGGATCGTCGTAAAAGTAATGCGCTCACCGGCCATTTCGTGGGCCGACGTTCGTCACATACGACGAGGAGGCCGTAATGGCCGAATCCGGTATGTCGCCGGACTCCATCCCCAAGGATTGATTGCACGTCCCTGAAACACACGGTTCAATTGTGTTATTCAACTGATATCTTAACTAATTGCAAGCAAGAAATAAGTGGTGGTTAATATAATATTTGGGTTAATACGACTATTCGGGAATATTCGGGAAGTTATCGAATCGAGGTATTGATTCTTACGTAACGAGAATGGAGATGGAATGGAGAAGGGAATATTGGATAACTGTGAAAAATTCAAGATCGAGAAATGAATGTTGGATAATTGCCAAGATCGAAGCAGTTGTCGAATAGAAGTAAATTCTTCTAGGGTTGAAGATAGTGGGGTAAGTGAAAGGATATAGAGTAAAATAGAGAAGCGTATGTCGTATGAATTTGAGAAAAATTTGGCATCAAAGGTTTGCAGTTATCGAATAGAGATATGGATTTTTATTAGGATTTTTATTAGGATTTTTATTAGGATTTTATTTCTAGATTATGTTAAATTTTGAGAATTTAATGATGTAAGAATATATTCTAGAGGGATAAATAGAGATAGTGATTGAAATGTTGGATAATATTGGACAATTTGTTTTACAAATCGAATTATCGTTATTTTTTCATTAAATATAATTATCTTGAATACGCAATTATCTAATTGCATCTCTTGGATCTCTTTTTACACAATGGATATCTTGCTAAAAGAAAAAAAGAAGATAAGAAAAATGTTAAATATTTAATAGATTGAAGAAGCATATTCGAGTTTCGTGGCATTTTCTACCGATTAATATTTCAACAAAATAAAACGCATTAAAAAAATTATAAAACGTGTGAATAAATATAATCATCGTAACATTTCACTTTTATCAAAGCAATTTATATTATCTGTAAAGAGATTATCTCGCAATACAATCAACCTACATAATCCAATTACTTTATTTCAACAAGGCTCGCTCGATAAATAAGTAAATTTCAATTCTATTAAATTTCAATAAACGTGTCGATACTTCGTGAACGAAACGTACGTTCGTAATTTCAAATTTTTCTTTCCTTTGGATACTTTGGAAGATAGCGCTACGATCGCTTCTCACAAACTTGCAAAATGGCGACCGATTGTTCACGTGGCTCCGGTATATCCGATCGCTACACACTTATTAGTCCATCAGATGCCTGAATCGCGTTTCAATTTGCTTCGGATCCAAGTTTACTGCCGTTCGAGTGTAATCTTTCCATTAAAGTTTTCGCTGAACGATAAAAGTACCGGGCCCAAGACCGACGTGAGACGGCCGAGATTCAACGGCGAGAGATTAATCGGCGCGAATAAATTTACATTATCGAGATGAGGAGTGGATCGACGTGGATTCTTTTGTCGAGGATGCATTTTCAATCGCGCGCGAATTAAACGTTTCTAAGAATAGGCGCCATTTCCAACGAGCTTTTTCTTTTTGAGATTTTTCGTTAAATTTTAGAAAGGTATAAAGGTTAAATTGTAATAATTGAAATTGAGGAATCGGGTGACCGAGAAGGGTAAGAAAATAATCTCAAGAATTATTATCAAAGTGTAGAGGGTATATTAAGAAAATTCGTCGTACGAGGCTAAAAAGGATGATTCCTTGCGCAAAACTACGTCGAAAAATGTAGAATGACAATTTCTGATACGTGACTTCGTTTTCGAGAAAACGATGATTATAAAATTTTATGCGTGTGCATTTATATGTAGTTGTAGCATTAGAAGTTAGGCGAAGTTAATTGGATAATAAATATGGTAAAAGAAGAATTCAGAAAGTTGAATGAATGAAGTGTGATATTATTTTATACGAACAGTTATATAAAGGGATACATTCAATAAAAGATTCTATCTCTGAATATACGTGCACAAAATTTTGTATCAAAATATATTGTCATTCTATTTTATCTCTTTTGCACGAAGATTCATCTACTATTTGTTCGTATTTTTGTTACATTTTTGTTGTATGGAATTCAAATTACGGAGTTTTCTGAAAAAAAAAGCGTCTATATAAGATAAAATTTAATTACGTTGGAAGTTTTAAAAAACAGGTGATACGAGAATAATTATGATAAAAATATTCTGTATATTAAATACGATGTTTTTCCAGAAAGTATATCAATTGTATTATAAAATAAAAACATCAAAAATTGTTATTAATTTAATAACTTTAATTTAATGTTCGATTCAATTGAATTGATGGAACATTCAATTTTGCAATTTTAAATATTGAAGAATAAAAACATTAATAAAAAAAAAAAACGTTCGGACGGGATTCGTCCAATTTTGTAATTTCATGTATTGCAAAATAAAAGAAAAACATTAACATTATTTAATATATATATATATATATTTTTTTTTGATATTCAATGTTACACGTTTTCTTTTGTTCTCGCTTCGCAATTATATGCTGTTGTTTTAAGAGATAATCGATAATATGAAAATAATTAAACGAATGATATTAATATCTATATTTAACAAATATTATTATTATTATTATTTAATATAAATTCTATACGCTTGGAGAATATTAATTTTTCCTACTGTGTCAGAAAATATCAAGATCTATACAATTAATTAATAAAAATATAATATCCAATATCAATGTTCACTACCTTAAGATTAATATTTTTATGATCGATGAAAGCTTAATTTCAAGCGCGAATTTCGTAGAAGCAAATATTTTATTATTATTATCAAGCTTTTTGTTCCAACAAATGAATGTTCATTCACAAAACATCTCTGTTTATTAAACAACAGGTTTTCTGAAATCGAGTACAATAGATTGATCTCATAGACGTTTTTATTGGCTTCAGCAGCCGTACGATCGACAGCACGCTTCCACTCGATTAAACCTTTCCTCTTTTCCCTTTCATCAACCCTCCTCCCGGAAATCCTTTCGAGTAAGTTATCCAGCCACCGTGCTTCCTTTTCGTCGAAATAAAACAAATGATCCTTCCAATAAACATCCCTTAGGAAAACATAAACGAAAATTCCTTCTTATTTCGAATATCTCTCTCGAAATTGAGAAAGACAATTAAAAAAAAAGTTTTCTTTCGAAAAAGAATTCTGCGAAAAATTTTCACTCGGTTACGATCCGTCATAAAATTCTCCATACATTATCTTATAAGGAAATTTATTTTTCGACGAAAAACCTTTCCTTATATTTCTGGTTTGGAAATATATTTCTTTTTTTTTACTTCAACATTCGACAGTTTAAAAACTTTGCATTACAAAGTTCTATTTAAACGATTGCTCTTCTAAAGTGCATATATTTCATTAATAAAAAAAAAAATTCCTGCACATGCAACCCGCCATTAGATTTACAATTATTTCATATAAAACAAAATTATCGTTATTTGTAAAAAAAAAACCTGACTCTCAACGTTGCTTTCCTCTCCGCAAAAAATATCGCCAAATAAACGGAGCGACTCGACGAAATATTCCTATTAATTAATTCAACTTTGCCCCCCTTTCCCCCTTCCAGATATCCTCCTCTCAATTAAATTAAACAGCGCTCAAACGCAAGTTGACATTTTTCCTCCGCGAAGAGAGAAGAGTTCGTAAATGCGCAACTTGCACAGACGAAACGTCTCTCTCTCTCTCTCTCTCTCTCTCTTTCTCTTCTTGAAAACGGTCGAACAAGGAGAAGAAGGGAGGGGGAGGGGGGCGTGGTAACCGCCACCAAACAAATCTGTCGTAATTCAAGGTAAAAAACGCTGGCCGGAAGTTATAAAAAAGTTTCAATGAAAGCGGCGCACACCCTCGTCCCCTGGGGGAGGGGGATCGTTTGTGCGAAGCAAGGGATGGTCCTAGATGGCATTCATGCGAACGTACGAATACGTCGCGCATCGTTTACCGAGCACGTACATTCAACGTAAGTACGGATGCAGGAAGCATCCTTCACGATCCGCCATTCCAACTTCCTCCACGCCGATTCTCCCGCCGATTTTTGAACTTCCATGGCATGGAAATTTCATGGGAGAGAAGTTGTGAACGATGTGTAAGGAGGATCGAAAATTTTGATATTCCATTTTTTATTTTTAATTCGTAATAATAATGATAATAATATGTATAATTATCAGCGTAGAATAACGTGTAAAGATCGTAAACAATCGTTGGATTAATATATGAGGAAATATGTAGCAAAATTGGGGAGCGCGTCAATTTTGACACGATAATTTAACGCATTTAGTTTTTCCCTTTATTATTTTATAAAATCGCAAATTGACATGTTGGTACATTGGGGAATAAAAAAAAAAAAAAGGAGGGAAAAAAAGAAAGAAAAATAACGCAAAGTGATTGGACAAATTGATTTGTCCCGAAATTGTATTTCCATATAATGCACGGCACAATGTCTGACCATAGACGGGTCGCATTCTACTGTCGATTCGCGTGTCAGTCACGTCGAACGTTTCTGATTGCTATTACAGATATTAAATTGGTCGGTTTGTTTACCGGGAATTCCAATCCATTCGACTGGATTCGATTGGACCTCTCGTTGATCTCTAATATTAGAATAAATCAATTCTTATACAATTCTTCGTACAAGATAAAAGATATTGTTAATCGTTCAAAATTTCTCAATTTTTTGTACATACATATTTCTATCCGATAATTAATATTCATCCAAGTTCTCTTGTCTTTCGTATACCATAATTACATATACATTGATCCTTAAACTTAGAAATAGAACCATACATCGTAAACCATAGATATATCAACTTGAACAAAATTTATCACAACAGTCAGAGATCAAACAAGTGAATACCGATGATCGAAACTCAAAATCTCGATAATGACTCGCAAAGAGAAATTTAAATTGAAAATGTTAGCTAGCATAAGCGAAAGCGTTTCATCTTTAACGGCATCCCACCACCGCAACAGTTTTCATCGCGGGAAACATTGTGCGGCAGTCAATGCGGCACAGTCGTCTCACACGTGTCTCTCTCGGAGACACGAGCGGCAAATCGCATAGGCGTTTGAACTACGAAACGTATTCATAGACGAGCGATGCACCCACCCGTTTCGCTCCCCGTTTGTTTCTGTCT